CTGTCCGCCATGTAGTCACAGAGTAACGAACTTCAACAATATTTAGGAACTCCCGAAATGTTATCAATAGATCCACAACAAAGAGCCAAATTTGATGTCTTGGAATATTGGAAAACCAGAAAATGTATTTTTTTGGTATTATCAAGACTTGTCTTGGATGTTTTGCTGTTCCTGTCTCAACCGTCTCATCTGAACAAACATTTAGTGCAAGTGGAAGAATCTTAAATGAAAGGAGGACTAAACTTTCACAAAAAATTATTGAAGTCCTCACATGTCTTTGAGATTGGGAACGGTCACGTCATCAAGATCAATACGAGGTTGTTGACGATACTTTAATAGAATCATTTCAATTTTGTAATATAGATGATATAGATGAGGGAGGTCCTAGTCAACCCCAAAATTAGTTGTTTTGTAAATTGTAACTTGTAAATTAATTGTCAATTATTGCACTCTTTTTTCCTTATCAAGTTTTTGTCCCATTGGGTTTTTCTTGGTGAGGTTTTTAACGAGGAAATAATTATTGTAATTTCTTATTTTATTTTTTGATAAATGAATAAATTTAATTTTTCTTATATTACAATTTTAATGTATTAAAATTGAATTAATATTTGAAATGTTAACAAAAAAATTTAATTTAATTTAATTATTGATATTTGAAAAGAAGTTAACTAAAAACAATTACATTTATTCATTTATAAATTGTTAATTATTCATTTGAAAAGTTAATTAAACAAAACAAAATCAAAAAAAGGGGTTAACCCGACCCGACCCGCAGCATAACCCGGCGGGTTAGGGTTGGCGGGCCAGGTTGGGCCAGCCAATCCCCCCAAATTGGCAGGCCTAACCCGGCCTGCCTTTGTTGGCGGGCAAGTCAAGACCGACCCGCCAAAATGAGTAACCCGCCATGAGCTGGGTCAGGCCGGGCGGGTTACTTTTCCACCTTTAACTACCATCATAAAGTAACTTAATTGTTTCTGAGTTAGTGACACATTTTCTGTATAGTATTAAATAGAGGAATTTAGATTCCACATTCTGATGTTTTATGTTACTAAGACATTGTAATGTTCCACTGAAATAATCTCATCTACTAAAATTCATAAAATAAATACCTAAAAGAAAATTTCGCTGAGAATTGATATGAATATGGTGAATAACAACAGTTTCTTGGCAAAAATTGAAACATGCTCATGGATTTCAAAGCAATAAAATATAAACATCCTTCAGGCTACAACATAAACCTCATAATATATTCAAATCATCCATTGGAACATAAACCTCATAAAATATTGGTTTGGTAAATTATAATAATCTAATCAAAAAAAATTTTGGGCCATGTATTATTATTTTGTGAAATTCACAAAGTAATTATACATATATTTAATTATTAGACTCCCTCATTTAAATTATTTTTCTATAAATTTAATACAAACATTATAAAGTATTATAAAAGTAAATATCATAAATTTAGACACATTACTTAAAACCATGATTTAAACTCTAATTTTATATACAATCTTGCGAAGGGAACAAAAAAAAAAAAAAAAACATAAAATTCTCAAAAATGCGGGGTTGGGTGAGCGGGGTTTCACGAGAACTTGGGGGGCGGGGATTGCGCTATCCCCTCCCTCGGCCCATCCCCGAGTGCGGGAATTTTTCTGAGGACCATCCCTGGCCCTATCCCCAAATTTTTCGGGGATTCCTCGCCCCATTCGGGCCGAGTCGGTCCAAATCCCCGCGGGGCCGGGGCAAACACCCATCTCTATATATAAGTGTATTTGACCTTTTGTTGTGTTACATATGTCGTGTCTTCCCCTCAATTTTATATTAGTGAAAAATTTATTAAAGCTTCTTCGATTTGTTTAGATTGGCAAATGGAAAAAGCAAAGGTTGGTTTTTTTTTTTTCCCCTAGATGTGAACATCTACGACTTCTTCAACCGGAAAAGAAATTATTAAGATATGTAACTTGTATTAGTAACATAATTAATCATAATATATAAAACAACATTTCCTGAATTAATTTCTCGTTGTTAGTAGGCTTGATCCGACAACATATCTCACCATATCATTGTAACAATCCTAACCGATCAACGGATTAAGCTCTTGTTAATCGAACCAAAATATTAAGCATTAAGCGGAAATAGTTATGTCATCCCATATTTTTAACTCATTTTGTTCCTTTAAAGTCTCTCGTTAGAAATTGGGTTAGTTTTGAACATGAAAATAATTAACAAAGGATGATTCTTTGTCCTCTATTGTGTTAATTAATATCTCTTTCCCTCTCAATTTTTGGCATCTTCATTTTGTTGAGATAGGCAAGTGGAGATTGGTATTGGATATCCCTACACAATTAGTTAATAAAACTGAAAATTTTAGATGGTTGAGCAGAAACTACATAGCTAATTCATTATAGAAATAGACAAAGACTAACTAAAATTTAAAATATTACCTCTCCTTTTATGATCGGATGACAAACACTTTAATCATCGGGGTTAGTTATACCCAAGAGTTTTGTGTTTGAGTAGTAAAAAAGGCTTAAAGAATAGACAAAACAACAAGAGAATACAGTAAAAGGGGAGCCTATGACCACGACTATACAATTCCACCGAGATAAGATAGAGAATTAAAGTTGAGCTTAACTTTTGGGTACATTGGAATGTTAAACGTCCTCAAAAAATCCATGCACTTCCACTTGACTAACTACAAAATCATCCCATGGAAACTTCACGGCATAGCAAATCGTGTCAGTGGAATTTAATGGCCATCAACAACACAAGCTAGTGCATGATATTCCATGCACTAACATTGAAATAGACAACTGAAGTCAAGGTCTTTTAGGCTTATTAGTCATTAGGATGGATCCTTGAGGATCTTGTCCAATGCACTTCACTAGAACAATATGACCATCAGCCGGACAGGTAACCATCAAGAGATAGATTCACGATATAATCTAAGTCCTTGTCGTTAGAGTCGATTTTTGTGTAATCCAAAGAAGATAAAAGAAGTACAGGCAAGCCTGCTCAAAGCTTAAGAACATTAAACTACTGGAATTTTTGGCTTCTAAAATCTCTTGGCTTTTAATAACATGAATTTGAACATGAAAGAAATTAACTGAGGATGATTCATGGTCACCTTTTAATCCCAATGCCGGTGGAAGGGCTTCACAACAAAGGCAATTGCCTTACGCCTCCCCTTGGCTGATGGGGTAATGTGATTTAGCTGATGTTGATGCTTGATTTTGACACCAACTACTCGCACGTGTAAAATACTAAAAAGACTTAGAAGTCACACATGGTATGAGGGGATTGAATTAAATAAAAGGTGAAGAACAATATTTAAAGTGGTTCGGATGCTCAAAAGCGAATCTTACGTCCATTGCTATTCTATTAATAAGAGAGAGAGGTCAGGTCGCATTCAGTGAGCTGAGTTATAGTTTAGAGAGAGAATACAAGAGAGAGAGAGAGAGCTATTTCAAAATAAAATTAGCTAATCCCCCACAAATGAGAGGGGAGTCATCTATTTATAGTGAGAAAGTTTAAGGTAATGATTATAAAAGCTGTAAGTGGGTAGGTGTCATGCAAATCCTTTATTTGCGTCCCATTGGTCACCTGTCCAAGAGATTTCCTCGACTAAAGCAGGTCTTTGACACGTGGACGATCTCCAACCACTTGCTGGTCTAACACTCACCTGCTACACTGACAAGAGTCATACAACTTGCGCTAGGCGTGACGTGGCCTCATCTGGACGACACAGAACCCTTCTGAGCTCTGACGATCCTTTACTGACGAGCCTCCACGTCAACCCGACTTTTTCAGGCATAACAGCTAATGGGGTTGTACTTCCTGGGGCTTCACATGCCGGGCACCTGCAAGAAGATGGAGACAGTTCATGCAGTTTACAGAATATTTCATTGACTCCACTTGGTTGCTAAGCCAATTCTATTTTATCCTAAATTTCATATTATAAGCGAATTACCATTATACGTGGTATTGACATTTAAATAAAATGAAGATACATTAATTACAAAAAAAAAAGAAAAAAAAAATAGATTATCCTTTGGCAGAACTTGTAGAGAGACAATTACAATTCTTATGTTTTATTCAATGTATAATATTGATGAGATATAACCAAATTAACCCATATAACAAAATAAATTAAAACTATAAACAAATGGAAAATTCAACTTGATGATGATGATGCCAAGATTGCAGATGTGAAGAAAGTATGTGATAACGTGAGACAGACAAACGGAAAATCCAAGAAGAAAAAAAAAGGTTAAAAATAATGGCAGAGGATTTTCAGGTTCTGGTTGCTATTTCCTATTTTAGTTATTGAACTTTGTAACGAATAAAATTTAGTTCTGTAATCTTTTTATGTACACAAGGTGAAGTTACCAACTTGAGAGACGACATTTCCAACGTGAGAGAAGACATAGAGAGTGAAATTTCCAACTTGAGGGTGAATGAGGGAGAATATCGCCAACATGAAAGAGCATATATTTGATCGGAGAGAGGATGCTTTCGACTGTAGTAAAGATGGCTCTACCAGTCTCCGAGATATATGCCTTAAAAGTATGGAGTACTACCTCCCCCATCGCCTCACCCTTCAACATCCAGAGCTTTATAATCACTCCTACATTGCATTCTTCATATTTAGTGTTCTTAGTTTGGAATTTTATTGGTTTCTCGGATATATATTTAGTTTTTCTTGCTCCATTTCGGATTTTTGTTTTGCAGAATAGCTCATATAGTCATATATATGAGATGAATATATTGCTTTGTGAAACAACTGACTCTTAATATCCTTGTTAAATGAAAAGACTAAATTATATTATTGATGCCACAAACATTACTGGATTAGTAATTATCATTAGATGTGAATCTTGAAGCAACATAATGATTTAAGATTCAGATGTAATGGTGATTAACTTTCTGTAATTATAAGATTTAGCAAATACCAAAAAGTACATCATAAACGTAAAGGATTAAAAGTTGACCCAGAAGACAAAATCAGATCTTCAATTCAATTGAATATTTGGTAACATATTCATAAGAAATACAAACTTTGTAAATTTATTTGATAAGAGCATAAATTACTAATGTACAAAAGCTTAAAGTAGCTAGCTTTACAAAACTGTCATGGTAATTCAAACTTCATTGAAATGGAACTGGAACACCTTGCTTTTTGTTGACAATGGCCATTGCCAAATACCGGGTACCCATTCCAATAGGCGTCTGATCATCAGGTCCTTCCCAGAAGGGAGCTTCACCGTCACCCACAAGACGCCAATATCCCGTCCTCAGAGACTCAGCTTGCTCCTCTGTGCAGTTCTGTAGTAGTGCTTCCACTCGGAAATTTATTCCAAGAGAACCAAGAAACTGGGACTGAGTAATCGGACCATGGACAGACACATTAACTAAAAACAAGTTGGAAAAAAATGATAATTTATCTTCATTACTCGCTTTCATGTTTGAAGTACTTCAATAAGTAAGAATAAAATTAAGAATTTAACAAACCCAAATGACAAGGTTCTGCACCTGAGGCTTCCTTAGCAGAATGCCTGACGGAAGCAAAATCAACATATGCACTGAGATCAGCAGTCCCAGGATTATCAAATATGTTAACAAATTTATGTTTCCGAATTGCCTGCATTATTGGGTTAGGAAGAAATTGATAAGTGGGAGGAAAAAAAAAAAAGGAACAGAAGATTATATTTGCAAGTTGTCTAATGGATCAAGATTGCCCCTAAATAATCTTATCTTACAAGTTTTCAGCACAATGATGACAAGGTTTATATTCCTCATGAAACAAGAAAAGTACACAAATACAATTATTTTCTTTTTTTACGACACAACTATTTACCTAGAACCATAATGTGATGATATCAAAATATTTGCCCGTGCATTGTTTCATAATAATTGGAAGATTGCAAGAATAAGAAAGAATTCTAAGGGGGGAAACCATCATATGATAGACAAAACAGTCAAAATTTGACCAGTTGGTAAATGAACGGATGGAATTTCACTGATAAAATAGCTAACTTGTTTATGGATGATAATCATCTAGAAGATGAAAAGAATTTAAAATAAGCAATCTTAAGGCACCAAACCTGCAGACTATCTGAGACTACTCCATTCAGGCCGTAATCAATTATAAGAGCTCCCCCTCCATCAGAGCCTATTCTCTTTGCTATTGTATTAGTCAACTCCATTGCTTTGGGGCAAACCTCAATGTGCCCAAGTTTCTCTAGTTCTTCAGCTGCAGCCCACTTGCAGCGCTTCATCAGAAAGAGAGTTGCAGGTGTTGCCTGTGGAGAGAGAACATAACGGAACCTAAAATATACACGTAAGAAGCATCAATGTATAATTCTTTAGAATTAGTATATGTAGAAAGACTAATGCTGTAAGACCAAATTCAAAGTCCTTACGATGAATCTTCAGTGACATCAACTAATTTTTCACACCAGCCACGGGAAGCCCTCTGGAGATAACATTTTTAGACCATAAAGCAGTTTCTTCGGGAGACAGAAATAGAAAGTAGCTAAAAATAGACAAACCTGAAACTGATGAACTGGTAGAGCATCATAAAATTCATGGGCAATTATGATCGTTGGGACTGAAAAAAAAAATAGACAAAATTGATTAAGGGGATGAAGTTGTCACATCGTAATTTTTAAAAGTAATAACACGAGATATTGTTCTTATGAAAATTCAATAGAAACTAAATTACGAACTTGACAAAATAGATGTTGTTTAATTGTATCTGGGATCATTAATTGGTTTTCTTTATCATCTGGGCAGTTAAGTCCTACATTAAACTGCCTATCAGCTTGCTTTCATGGGGAAAAGATTCAAAGATAGCACCATACTTCCTGATGGAACCTGCTCCAGTGCAGCATGCCATGAAACAGGTGTTCCTGCTAATGTGGTAATAGTCCTCTTTTCAACATTTTCGTTGGTACTATCCTCATCCATGCACTTCAAGTTCTGGGGGCTGAAGCTTCTGTAATGCTGGACTACATTCTACCAAATGTACGTGCAATGATTCAGTAAAACTCTTAAACTTTGAGGCACCCTGAAAGAAAAGCTCCACTTAATCAAACTAATCAAAAGAAATTTAAGGGTTAACCACAACATATTCCAAATTCAGTGAAGATAAATATTAAATACAAGTATATAAAAATTAACAAAGATACATAGTTGTAATTGTTGTCTCATACACGAAGAAGGTCCACCATGAGAGTTCCTCGACCTGGACCCAACTCAACAAGGTTCAATCTTTTTGGCTGTCCTATTTGCTCCCATAAACACATGGCCCAAACGCCAACCATCTGAATTTGCATCAGTCAGACAAAGAATCAATTGTTTTGCGATAACCAAACAACATAAGTTAAACGACCAGCACTTTACAGTGCAAACGACTCCTTGAATGAAGTCTAATGAGTTACAAGGAGACAATAGTAAGACAGACCAAGAGAAATCACATTACCTCTCCAAACATCTGGCTTACTTCAGGTGAGGTTATAAAATCACCTTCTGCTCCAAATACATCACCATTGATATAGAACCCAGCCTTAGGATTTGTCAGAACTTCCTCCATATACTCTGCAACTGAGATTGGCCCACCACGGAACTGGAAACCAGCAATTATTACAAATCAGCTTCAAGTACAAGGAGTAACTTCGCATGTAATAGAAAACATAGCAAATTCCATTATGCTCTGCTAATGCCTAACCACAAAATGCCAAAGTAGACATGATGGAAAACTTTGCAACCACTCCCCCTGGAGCTTCTTAACAATGAATAAAAAAAACAAAATCTTTTATCTTCTAGATAGCAACTAAACAACTTTAACTCATTTTAAAAAATCCACTATACCTATGGATCAGTTGTCATGCTCTCATATCAAGTCAAACTGACCGTATAACCTTTTGAACATTCAAATGCGAAAAAATCATGTTGATAGAACAAAACTTGCCCGTTAATGCAAATACCAATCGCCATAATCGTATCCCACCCCCAAACAAAACTCCCTCTTTTAACAAAATAATACAAATACCTAAATCTACAAACTCACACACACATTTCCACAAACACTTAATACATGTTACCAGAACAACGAAGCGAACAAACCAAAAACTCATAAACATAAAACATTTCACACCTTTATGATCCCTTTAAGTTGCTTAACGAGCTCAGATTCCAAGTTCCGCTCATGTGAGTGCTCCACAAATCCAAAACGGGACAAAATTTTAAAACAAAATTAAAAGAAATAAGAAAATCAAAGCCTGTTTCAAACATTGTGAACAAAGAAACATAAAAATATTATGAATATAAGTAATGTGTATACCAGGGGGATTGTAGAGGCCAGAGCGGTCTACGGAGATGGTGCTGGAGGGGGTTTACTCGTGTTGTCGTCTAAGTGTTCGACGAAATGAGTAATGGGGACTTGAGAGTCCGAAGAAGAAGAAAAAGAGAATTGAGAGAATCTTTGAAGTGGGCATTGTGGAGAGGACACGCAGAGGACTGGGATGTTGTGGAGGAGTCTTCTTAGTAGCATGTGCAGTTTGATCGTGTTAGATGACTACTGCTTTGTTTTGGTGGGAACTTGTACAAACTCAATAAAATTGTATATCTTTGAAGTTTTTTTATGACGACCGAAGCTATCAATTGGGGATGTAGCTCAGATGGTAGAGCGCTCGCTTAGCATGCGAGAGGTACCGGGATCGATACCCCGCATCTCCATATTTTTTTGTTTTTTAAAAACACCCTCTTAAACCCATCAATTTCCATCGCCAATTTCACTCCTTTTCCCAAAATTCTTCTTTACTTCCGTCATACCATTCGCTTCATTTCCCTTATTTGCTATGTTCTTTCCTTCATTTCTCGGTTAACTTGCTCCAAAGTTTCTGTCTTTTTCCAAATAAGTTCCGTCGGTTGTTTCAGTTCTAGCCTAGAAAAAAGTTGATTAAAGCTTCAATTTTGTGCTAAATTATGCTCTCTTTAGCATCTTAATTGGTACTTGGTAACTTTTCCTTTTAATAACTCGACAAGTAATTCACAACAACTCACTGTTTCGTTTCCTTCCCTCTCAGTCTCTCTATTTCTTTCACCTCTCTGGTGCCCTGAGCTTTCGCTTTCGACCATCAAGGTTAGCTTTAAGTTTATGTATTTTACCCTCTGTTAAAAGATTTAATTTGATCATTGGGCTGCTAATTGTCTTATTCTTTATTTCTTAACGGGATTTTATCTTAAATTTATGCTGAATTCGTTGTTATTTCTGTTTCTTCATAGTTAAATGAACTTGCTTTCTTAGTTTATGAAGCTAGTTTATTTATATTTGTTTTTGTGCTTCTATTGAGTGGTATGAGTTGATCCTTAATTTCCAGCCGTGATGTCACTGGTTTATATCTTTGGAAGACCTAAATGGGATATTGTATTTCTACCTTTGAGTTTGTCCCTCGGGATTTCTTGGTTATTGGATAGAAAAGTAAGTTTGTTGATCTTTGGGGAGTGATATGGGTGATTTATGCGTTTGACAAAGCTTTTGAACTTAAAGAATGAATAATTTTAAAGAAGGGTAAGGCATATTAGCTGTTGACGCAGTTCCATTTTGATCTCAGAGAAAATAGGTTTATCTCTGTGCAAAATATAAAGACATTGGTGAAAGTTACACACACTAGAGTAGACATGGCTTATGGTGGAGCACCAGCGGCAATGACTGGCATAGGTTCTGCTTCAGCTTCAACAGTCAGGCAAGTGAAACTGGACAGAGAGAGTGAGCTGAGAATTGAAGTCAGTAATGAGACACCTCTGCGCCTTCGGGTTCTTAATGGCAATGCCGAGATTTTTGGAACTGAATTACCTCCAGAAATCTGGCTCAGCTTCCCCCCACGTCTTAAATTTGCCGTAAGTTCTGTCTTTTTTTTCTTGAGCAAATAATTGTTCCTTTGCTGATATAGGTGTTAGTTTACTTAATTGTTATAACGAAACAAATAAATATGTCTAGCATTTTTATCATCATTTTCAAACTTGTTTTTAAAAGATAGATTGTAAAATGAAACTGGATTTGGTTTTTCAAAATTTAAGCATGTGTTCGAAGGTGTTCCTGAAAATAGAATATAAAAAATGAATACACATTTTCTGAAGATTGCATTTTGCAACCGTTTCTCAAAGACACTGAAAACTGTTGTTCTTAATGCATCAGGTTTTTACTTGGTATGGAGCCACAATTGAAATGGATGGCACTACTGAAACTGAGTATACGGCAGATGAGGTATGTTTTTGTTTGCTGTTAGGTCTTTCGGTTTGTTGTTAGATCTTTCGGTTTGTAGTTTGGTATGCTCTACTGTGTATTTTCTAGAGAAACAGAATGGCAGAAATGTTCTTAAATTGATTAATCATGGTGGTATGTCCTTGCTTTTCAGACTCCCATGGTCAGTTATGTAAATGTACATGCTGTACTGGAAGGACGAAGAAACCACGCCAAAGCATCTGCATCAAAGGGCTCAGATACCTCTCAGGTATTTATTCATTGTCATCAATGGCATAATTCAAAGCTTATTCAGTAAGCATTAGTCTTTCTTGCAGTTTGCCTCTTAATTTTGACAATACAATCTTCTGGAAGGTGCATGGCCCTAGGGTAATTGTTGTAGGACCGACAGATTCTGGCAAGAGCACTTTGTCAAGGATGCTTCTTAGTTGGGCTGCTAAACAGGGTTGGAAACCTACATATGTGGACCTGGATATTGGCCAAGGATCAATAACAGTTCCTGGAAGCATTGCTGCTACCCCAATTGAACTGCCCATTGATTCGATTGAAGGAATTCCTCTTGAAATGGCCCTTGTTTACTTCTTTGGGCACACCACTCCTAGGTAATGAATGTTGGATTTTCCTTTACTTTGCTACTTCATGCATTAAGAAACCCTTTGTTTACAAGTATTCTTCGCCAGTTGGTAGAAACTTAATAATAATTATGTGATTCTTGGCAGCAATAATCTAGATTTGTACAAAGTACTTGTGAAAGAGCTTGCACAAATGTTGGAGAAACAATTTACTGGTAACGCAGAATCTCAAGCAGCAGGCATGGTAATCAATACCATGGGTTGGATAGAAGGTGTTGGCTATGAGGTAATTGTCTTGTAAATCTTCCATACTGATGAACATTGAGTAATTTATAAAAAAAACAAAAAAAAAAAAAAAAAATTCTTAATGGACATTTTGTTCCTTTTTGCAGCTAATACTTCATGCAATTGATACATTTAATGCCAATGTTGTCCTGGTATTGGGTCAGGTAAATCATAAATGCCTTGAACAACAAAAAATTAGAAGATGTTTTTATTCGTCTGATTGAACATTCATTTCTCTTCCCTGAACATGTCACAATTTGAATGCCCTTCTTTAACACATTAAACTTGTTGATTAGCTATTCACTTCTTGATAGTAGGTGCAGATTTATATTTGTTGATTTTCCAGTTGATAAGAACTCAGATATCCATTTATTCATGCAGGAAAAACTTTTCAGCATGCTAAGAGATGTATTAAAAAACAAGCCTAATGTGGATGTCGTGAAACTTCAAAAGTCAGGTGGTGTTGTGTCCAGGAATGCAAAAGTTCGACAGAAGGCCCGAAGTTATAGGATACGGGTAAATGACAATTGTTTACTTTCCCTTTTTGGTGTTATATATTTCATGGCCTTGGAGCCATATAGCATTATTGTGACATCTTTGCTTCAGCCAAAAATTTTGAGGGAGGCTGGAAGCATGAAAGACAAAGCACACTGAACAAGATTGCAACTTTGTGTATGGTGGTTTTCTTCTTTTTGAGGATCTAACATTGAGGTTAAGAGATGTTTTATAATGTCTGGGAACTAATAGCTTTCAAAGCATTCAAATTAATTTTGGCCCAAAAAAATCCCTTCTTTTTCCAATTTTTCTGCTCATGGACTGATTCTATGTCTACTCGGATGAATCTCTCTGCTTATTCTGTTGAATAACATGGTATGTTTATAAAACATGTAATCAAGATATAAATTTCCTTCAGTTTCTACGAGTTCTTGGTTACTTATTGCTAATTGCTACTTTAACATTTATGGTACTATCTCCTTCTAATGATATATCAATGTTACTTCCACCAGGAATACTTTTACGGCCTAACAAACGATTTCTCCCCACATGCTAATGTTGCAAATATTAGTGATTTGCATGTCTATCGGATTGGTGGTGGACCACAGGCACCAAGATCAGCTCTACCAATTGGGGCTGACCCTGTCGCCAACCCTCTGAGATTAGTGCCTGTGAATGTTGACCAGGATTTGCTCCATTTACTTCTTGCTGTTTCATATGCCAAAGAACCTGATGAAATTATATCAAGGTAATTGCTACATTGTGGAATGATTAACACTAATATTCTTAATTTTTGGCAATCAACCTAACCTGATAATAATTATAGTACTTATTACCCTTTACTGCCATGATGACATTGATATAATGTATTACTCTCTGCAACTAGTCTTATGATGAATTGGCACAAAGCTAAATCTAAGACTTCTAACAGCGGTACTAAATTTTTTATGACATGACTAGTGCGCAATTTTTATTCATGGTTCTTCTATAATTTCTGATCACCATCTCTTTGTCTGCAGCAATGTTGCTGGGTTTATCTATATTACAGATGTTGACACTAGGAGGTTTGAACTTTGTGTTCTCATGTTGGATGAAACCATCTTTTGTGGTTAATGCTCTTTTTTTTTTTTTTAACTTGTACCTAATATAAGTATTGCCACAGGAAGACAGTTACATATCTTGGACCATCAGCAGGGATCCTTCCGAGCAAATATCTCATCTTGGGAACTTTGACATGGCTCGAAACATGAAGCGTTCAGAACAAATTTGGACATGGCCTGATTATATAAACCACTCAAAGCACAATTCTCTTTTTCATTACGAAATGCTAATTGTTCTGGTTGAGTGAATGCAAAGGAGTATAACAGAGCTATTTCAATCACCCTCACAGAGTCAGAGCTTCTTGTGGCTTTTGCATGTAACCTTATGCAAAGATGACTAGAACTTTGGCTTTTTGGCTTCTGCATAGTTGGTTTCTCTTTCTTATTTATGAAGATAATAGATAATTAACTAGATCTCTATTTTAGCCATCTTATATTGTCTCTTCAGTTCCCAAAATTTGCCAAAAGATGAATATTAATTATGTTTGCATGTTGTGATTGGAATTTTATGAACCCTAAACTCTATTCACTGCCTCAAATCTGGGGAATTTTATGTGTTTGAAGGAAGAAACCAATGCTGATATGGGCATTTACATATAGAAGCTACTTCAATTAAAGGATGAAAAGATATATAATTTATAAAACGCTAGCTACAGATCTTCTAAACTTCTGTTACTCAATTTTTGCAGCCCATCAACCATAGAAGAGTAAAGATCCAAATTTTCATCATCTAAACAAGCTGTGTCAGAAAACAAACAAACCCCACAAAAAAAAAAAGCAAATTAAACAACTAAAAAGCTCTTAAATAAATGAAACCAAGTACTTAATCAATAAAATGTTAACAATGTGTTAAAGGTGACAAATAAAAATGAAACACATTCAAATCATTGAGAATGTTCACCCATATGGTGGTGTATAGCTGGACTTACCATTTACAGAGCACTTAAATCACAATTTTACTAACTTGCAAGCCAGAAAAGATGGATTGTCCCCACCATTGTTGACTAAGCTCATTCTTGAACAATAATATTGTATTATGTTGCAAGAGATTGGTTGTAACCTTTTCTACCCACCTCTCTCTTAGTAGGGTTCCGAGAGTTATGATTATCAAGTATCGTCTTATCTAAACAAGTCTAAATAATTTCACACTCATTTATAAAGATGATATTTAGGTTTGAGTTGGAGATAGTTTGAGCCTTACTTTTTTAAGATAAGTAATAATTTAATCAGAACCCACTAAATAAGATAAGATAATACGTGATAATCGTAATTCTCGGAACCTCTAAAACATGTCATTAATGGCGGTAAGGTTATATAATAATGTAAAAGGGCTTTGAGCTTTGAGCTTTGAATGTTTAAGCATATTCAAAGTTTGACTTTAATCCTTGGAGTATCTACCTTAGTCTAGCGTCTAGGCTTACACTAAAATCAAGTACAATCATTTTTGAAACTTTGAACATCAATGAGATTATTAAGGGTACCTTGCAGCCCATTTTGGACTGATGTAACGGTATGGTTACCTCCAATATCATAATCTTTCAAAAGATAAATACTATTAAAGATTTTACCATATAGTATTAGAAAAGATTATTCCTAGCTCTTGGATCATTATCTATGAACATTTTTATTGATCCAGATTATATAATTATTTACCTTGATATTATAGATGAACCCAAATACTAAAATAATTAAGAAATATAGATAATGATGGATAAGTATATGAAAGAATAACTCAGTAACAATAGAACTTCGTTAGAACTCCATTTCATCACAGAATATCACATATATAACAGTATAAAGTGAATTAATTAACATTATTTCATAAGGGTTTAATTATATATAGTTAATCACCATGGCAAGGCTGAACAATAAGTACATATTTTTGTTCCTTACTTTTGACTCCATATTTTCTTTCAACAACCGAGTGTCGTAATCCCCTCCAATGGACTGATTTCAGATTTTCAACGTTGCTGATTTTGGAGCCATTTCCGATGGATTCACTGATGCTACTCAGGTTGAAGATGATCACCATATATAATTTTGCTTCATTATGATTTGGTTACATTATGCATGTTCATAATTAACACCAATTTACATGCATGCATGCAGGCTTTTATGAATGCTTGGGATGCTACATGCAAATCTTCACCACCTTGTTTGTACCTCAAGGAATGTCAATATTTTTTTTTTCCTTTGGTGATCGAGGGTGTCCGGGCCCAGTTTGTGTGTATCTCAACTAATTCTCCGAGGCTCTACAATTGACAATCAGATAAATCTTCTCAGTGGTCATCCCTATTAACAACCCAGATGGATCGAACTCAAGACCTCTTGAATAATACTCTCAAGAGTCTTAGTTGACCATTGGGCCATCCAATAGTGGTTAAGGAGCGTCATTTTTGCTGCAACCAATAAGCTTCGTTGGCCGGGATTGCCAATCCAATCATATCAACTTTCAGGTAATACTCACCACAAAATTTGCTGCTATATTATGCATGCAACAAACACATATTTTATAAACATTTCTATTGAAATAGTGTAGATTGATGGCAATATAATTGCACCAAGCGATCCTCATGCATGGAACAGCAGGGGAAAAAACTGTCGCCAATGGATTACATTCGACCACTTTGAAGGGCTCTTCATTCATGGATCTGGTACTATCAATATCAATGGTCAAGGATCAAACTGGTGGGGAATCTCTTGCGATAATGATAAAACCGTAAGGCCATATTTAATCCTCCAAACCAAAGCACTTGTTATATATATATATATATATGTTATGCCCAAGAACTAGGGTTAGCGTAAGCATGCGTCAGCAAGAACCAATCAGAATTCAAGAAGGTTTTCTGACGTCAAGATGCAACCACGTCCCGCAAGGACTAGAGGGGTAAGGCCATTGTCAATAAGGCAGGTGAACACCAGACCTATTGGTGGTTGGGAATTGTCCACCTGCTAAAGTTATGCACGATTTAAAGATATCTCTCATACAGGCAACCAATGGGAAGCGGGTTAGGAATTGTAAGATACTTGTCCACACGTAGAATCATGATTGCCATCTTGGATCCTCCCACTATAAATAGAGAGCTCTCCTCCAGTTTACGGGATTAGCTCATTCTCCATCTAAACTCTCTCTTTCTCTAGCTCCCTCTCTACCCATTCATTCTCTCTATTGTAATTCAGCTCACCGAGTGTGACCTAACTGTAACCCACTATTAATATAATCACAGTGGATGTAGGGTTCGCCTTAGACATCCGAACTACTTTAAAAATCGTTATCCGCTCCGTCTTTTTCCTTGCATTTCCATATCACGTGTGATTTCTAAGTCCGTTTAGCACCTCACACTTGCGAATAGTTAGTGTCAAAATCAAGCATCAACAATATATATATATACTTCAATTAAACTCCAAATGATTCACTAAATTCGTTTATTTCTTTCTTCATTGCAGGCTTGTGACAGAAAACCATTGGTATATATCAAAAATAAAACCTGTGGCTTGCTTATTGACTCCATGACTTTTGTATCAAAATTTTCTTCTTTCTCTTTTAATTGCAGGTTTTTGTTATATCACATTCCAATAATGTGCACCTTAACGGCTTGAACTTTGAGAACAGTCCACAAAAGCACATTATAATTAAAAGTCCATCACGGGTGTATGACTCTCACCTCACCATTGGAGCTCCTGAGCATAGCCCCAACATTGATGGAATTCACGTTCAACAGTCCTCAGATGTGTTTATAGATCAAACTCGCATTGGAACAGGTGATGACTGCATCTCAATCGGTGACGGTTCGTCCCATCTCAACATCACAAATATTTCATGAGGCCCTGGCCATGGAATCAGGTAAAAATTAATAGTTATTATAAATATAATTATATAAAATACTTTGTTTTTATGAATTATTAATCTATTATTGTATTAATTTTTATTTGTTTTCGTAAAGCATTGGGTGTCTAGGTGGGGAAGGAGAGTTCAATACGGTGGCATTCGTTTATGTTGCCACTGTTGAGTTTACAGGAACACAGAATGGAGTTAGAATAAAAACATGGTAGGTATATGGTTAACTGAGACTTAATTTATATGAAAATTTTGAGCACATATATATAAACTTACACACTTTATTTTGTATGCTCAGGGAGGGAGAGGATATGCCAGAAACATAGTGTTTGAGAATATCTCATTTCATGATTCGAACAATCCTATCATCATCCATCAATACTATTGTCCCCATCAACATTGCACAAATCAAGTGAGCATCGAGAATTAACGTGTTATTATGAGCATTTTCAGAAAGTATTATAAAAAGCGAACTGATCTCTGTTAACATCTGGGTATATTTTTGCAGACATCAGCTGTGGCAATTAGCAATGTCATGGATAATGGACTGTATGGAACATCAAGTCGAGAAACTGGAGTGTTATTTGCATGTAGCACAACAATTCCATGCACAAATATTGTTATGAAAAACATTCATTTAGAGTCCAGTAAAGAGGGCAAGGAAATATCAGCATACTGTCTCAATGTTCAAGGACTTGCAAATAGCCAAGTCTCCCCAACAGTGCCTTGTTTATTTCTAGATGAGTCTTTGTAGGGGGTAGAAATTGATAAGGTGAAACTTTATTATTATTTATTATTATTATTATTTCCTTTTAATATAAATATAATTATTATCAGTTAAAAGGTGTTTTTTTTTTTAATACCTAAGAGGTATAAGTCAGTTTATGCGTATTTCAACTAATCCTCAATAGGAGATATCTTATAACAATCCACCATCATAACTCTCAGGGTAAATCATGAGCAAATATACTGTTTTCACGTCTAGCAGAGAATCGAACCTGAGACTATGCGTTCCTTTATTTTTTATTAATTGAGTATGGAAAGCAATTAGTTTGGAATGATGAAGTGGTAAACAGCTTTGAACACCAATTTTTGGAAAAGCACTTTTGTTTCCCCTCTCATTTTTTAAAGAGGGTAGCTGTATGCATGTATGATTTTATTTTAAAATAATTGAACTAAAAATCACTTTTAGACTTTTCAATTACAATCCCAATCACAACTATCCAAAAGTCTAATGTTTTTGGGACCAATTAGGTTAGAAATTAACACATAATTTCAAATCTCTTTAATTGCCGGGGGGGAATTTAAGTTTACTGTTGACACTCAACCTTATCCTGCTAAACCAAATACCAAATATTCTAGATGCATTTGTCTAAAAAATCAAACAAAAAATATTATGCTCTAAAACCCAGAAAATATATTTATATGTTCTGAGTTCAGCCGAGCACATGGCTATCGGGTATAAACCTATTCTAATACCACAAAATTCTTAATCAAGTAAATATATGCGTACTTTGAATCTATCTTAAATGCGTCTACTTAGTTATTGATTTTTGAAACGTAAGGCTTATAAGCTCAACTTAACCTATCGATGTGGGTATGAACATTTTATTTTGAAACGAAAGGCTTGTAAGCCCATCTTAACCTCTCGACGTGGGTACGAACATTTTATATCGGTTTTGTTATAATCGATAAAATGGGTCATAAGCATGCAAGTCGGTGTCCTAAAGGCTAGGGTCCAAACCTACCAAAACCCATATCATATCATTATAAAATGAGTTATCCACCACTACTAGGACTCATATCATATCATGATAAAGTGAGTTCAATTATATATATATACGTCATAACAACTCACAAAATTGACGATATGGATAGATACAAGGCAAATACAACTTAACAATAATAACCAAGTTTTTGGACATAAACCTTTGTTTTATACCATCAATTTGTATTTTTATAATATAAATCTAAACTGCTTGTCTAAGTGAAGTTGTAATTAGAGTTTAGGCAAGAGAATGTGAACATAGAGAAGCCAGAAAAGATGACTAATGAGTAATGAGCAAATAAAATTAGGTTTTCAATAACAACTACTAATTGAATGAATGAATGAAATGCCCACTACTTTAGAAAAAAATTTCCAAGTTGTAGTTGTAATTCCACTATCATGGGAAAATGGCACCACCTCACTTCAGTAGTCAATTTAGTAACAATCTCCTTATTATTTATTCATATTAGGTGAACAGAATCTGCTTACATGTCACATTCTCATTCGTTCATCCTCATGCCTACACTTTACATTACTCCACCCAAAACCCTAATACTGACAAATTTATTTGATAATAATTGTAGTACATATCATAACTTATACATATCTATATTATAAAATTATGCATTTATAAGTAGAAAATAACAATTTTTTACAGCTATAATATAACAAAAATTGCATGTTTTACTGTTTGTATTCATTTGATACATTGATAAGCGAATAACCGGGCAGTTAAGCTTGTGATTTGCCTTTACAAAATCTATATTCAGGTTCTCTTATAGGCATTAATTTTATTTTTTTGGTGTTGGAGGTTTTCGAATCAGCTTGCTCGCACTTAAATTAGTCTCTTAGAATCCTGAAGCTAATGGTCAGATAAACCTTAAATGATTATCCCTTATTATTGTGAGAATTCAAACTCAAGATCTCTTGAGTAATATATCCAAAAGTCTCAAACAAACTACATAAACGTTAATTTTCATGTCTTAAAGATTGTAAGGTTCAAAAAATAAGGATTAAATGAAATTCTAGTTTCAAATTCAGGTTCACAAAACAAAATCGATACTTTTGTGGATTATATATATATTAACTTTCTCCTTCTTATCTTTTTCACTTTTCTCTCATGTGAATTTTATATGGTAATTAATTTTAATATCAAGAAGTTTTGATAAGAAAAAGACTATATGTATATATATTCACGGATAAATTCTTTCAATATTTTCAATTGATTTTGTCACTATTAAATATATTTAATCACAAAGGGACGAAGGAGAAACCTTCAAATCCACTTCAAGAATATTTTGGCAGAAAATATATACGAATAAATCCTGTAAATCAGCTCTGATGATTTTGGAATATAAAACATAAAAATTCCGGCAATAAATAAAGCTACAGTAAACTAAGACTAATTAAATTTATTACTACAAAATGTTATAATTTAATAGAGTTGTAGTTACAAAATTATTATTTTGATTTCTTATTTTATAATTCATATTTTAGTAGTGTATTAAGATTTTGATTCATTGTCTTAGTAGTATTAAGATAATACAGAAATTGATATTAAAGAGTTATTGTAAAATTGAGTAATCAGATTCAACAACTTCATTTATTCCTCAATAATCTAAATGAGCAACAAATCATGTATATTTTAACTGAAAAAGAAATTATTATTGAAATTAGACAAGAAAATGAATGAGATAATATTGAGAATGATAGTACACAAATATAAAAAAATTTATACCAAGAAGCTCTAAATATACTGGAGAGCTAGAAAGATTTTAGCTTCAACAAAGCAAAATAAAAAATATAGTAAAAACTCTAAAATATAAAATATTGTGTCAAACAACTTTAAATAAATATTTATTTCATCTTAAACCTTCAAACGTAATATAACATATATATTTTTATAATATACATATAATTATTATTATATAAAAACGTAAAACTTAAAAAATTATAACTTAATATAATATAAAATTTATTTTTATTTACAACTTATTTTAAGTGAAGACAAAGATTTGATTATTATATAGCAATTATTCCGTACATGGTAGAGAGGTTCTGATATATACAAGTTAATAAATTATTTGATGACATCAAATAAAATAAAATCTGATAATTAAAGATAATGTTAACCGGTAATGTAAAGTCAGATATTGCATCTGAGTTGAGATCTGTAGCTTTCCTGTTTGTGATGTATCCACTTAAACACTTAGAGCAGATGTGGATTTTCTTGTCTGGAATATGCCAAAGTTACTGTTATGACAAACAAACAAAATCTCTTTCTCTCTCTCTTACCCAACCTGCCCTTTCTCTCTGTTTCAACCTGCCCCTCCTGCCCGTCCTAACACTTTCCCTCTTTCTCAAGCACCCCTCTTCTCTCTCTCTTACCTTTTGACTAAATTTTCCTACCTGGGTGTCATTTGGTATCACTTATTATCCAGTCTTTCATGGGTTTTTGAGATGGGGTTTTTGTGTTGCAGCTAAAGTTGATTGCTTTTGTGATCTTTGAGAGGCTGATCAGTAGTTTTTTTTTTTTTTTTTGTGCAGATGGTGTTAAGTTTTTTCACTTATTATTGATTTTTTGATGTGTTTTGAGATGGGTTTTTGTGGTTGTAGCTAAAGTTGTTTTCTTTTCTGAGTTATGAGAAGTTGATCAGTTGAGTTTTGTGGAGATGGGTTTGAGTCCTAAGTCTGTAAAGGTTAAGAATTGGGAAGTGAATAGTGAACCATTCACTAAATTCGTTTATTTCTTTCTTCATTGCAGGCTTGTGACAGAAAACCATTGGTATATATCAAAAATAAAACCTGTGGCTTGCTTAATGACTCCATGACTTTTGTATCAAAATTTTCTTCTTTCTCTTTTAATTGCAGGTTTTTGTTATATCACATTCCAATAATGTGCACCTTAACGGCTTGAACTTTGAGAACAGTCCACAAAAGCACATTATAATTAAAAGTCCATCACGGGTGTATGACTCTCACCTCACCATTGGAGCTCCTGAGCATAGCCCCAACATTGATGGAATTCACGTTCAACAGTCCTCAGATGTGTTTATAGATCAAACTCGCATTGGAACAGGTGACGACTGCATCTCAATCGGTGACGGTTCGTCCCATCTCAACATCACAAATATTTCATGAGGCCCTGGCCATGGAATCAGGTAAAAATTAATAGTTATTATAAATATAATTATATAAAATACTTTGTTTTTATGAATTATTAATCTATTATTGTATTAATTTTTATTTGTTTTCGTAAAGCATTGGGTGTCTAGGTGGGGAAGGAGAGTTCAATACGGTGGCATTCGTTTATGTTGCCACTGTTGAGTTTACAGGAACACAGAATGGAGTTAGAATAAAAACATGGTAGGTATATGGTTAACTGAGACTTAATTTATATGAAAATTTTGAGCACATATATATAAACTTACACACTTTATTTTGTATGCTCAGGGAGGGAGAGGATATGCCAGAAACATAGTGTTTGAGAATATCTCATTTCATGATTCGAACAATCCTATCATCATCCATCAATACTATTGTCCCCATCAACATTGCACAAATCAAGTGAGCATCGAGAATTAACGTGTTATTATGAGCATTTTCAGAAAGTATTATAAAAAGCGAACTGATCTCTGTTAACATCTGGGTATATTTTTGCAGACATCAGCTGTGGCAATTAGCAATGTCATGGATAATGGACTGTATGGAACATCAAGTCGAGAAACTGGAGTGTTATTTGCATGTAGCACAACAATTCCATGCACAAATATTGTTATGAAAAACATTCATTTAGAGTCCAGTAAAGAGGGCAAGGAAATATCAGCATACTGTCTCAATGTTCAAGGACTTGCAAATAGCCAAGTCTCCCCAACAGTGCCTTGTTTATTTCTAGATGAGTCTTTGTAGGGGGTAGAAATTGATAAGGTGAAACTTTATTATTATTTATTATTATTATTATTTCCTTTTAATATAAATATAATTAT